ATTAAAAAAAGATACGAGCAGCTTGAGCGGCTTTAAAACCAATCTTAGCGAACTAATATATAAGATTAATATGCTTGCTAAAACCGCACTTGAAATATTTAGCTTTAAAGTTAAGAGATTGAGATCGGCGACGACTGCGTGATTATTGATTTAAAAAAGCTCGTTTGTAAAGTGCTTATCGGCTAGCTATATAAGCTCTTTCGTTACTCGAGTAATAGGCCGCGAATGCTTTTACTTAAAGGTTTAAATTGGTGATGGACTTTTATTTCTTATTTAAACGTTTTAGCTTTTAATTTATTATTATAAAAGAGATAAAGCTATCGCATAATAGTGTATATGCTTTTAAAAGAACAAGATTAATGCAAAAGATCAATTAGTAGTAATCATCGTCGAATTGATTTTTTTTTAAGCTTTTATAAGCTTTTCGGCGGCATATTAAGACGCGTTTTAAGTTATTGCTAAAGGAAATTTTAAGGTCTATACGAAAATTAATAAAGGCTTAAAGCTTGATTTATATAGATCGGAATATAATAGCGGTATAAATAGTTTTTAGCTTTTAAATCATAGACTTAATATTAAAAAGGTTTTTAATCTTTTAGCGATCGAATTCGCTAAGCTTTCGAAAGAGATTGAATTTGAATTTCGCTATCTCGACTCGAAACGCTTTTAAAAGACTTTTATTCTCGTAAATCAATTTATCGTATTTATTTTTATCAAGCCTTTTTAAGATTTTCTAAATGCTATTAGCGATATCGTGTCTTTATAAAGGTGCTTTAGTAATAATTATATAGCAATGTTCGGATTCCGAATAATCTAATAGATAAGCGACATCCTCGCTTTAAGCGATCGTCTCGATAGTTTCGAACCATTCGTTTGAATTCGATTTGGTAAAGGTCTTTACGCTTTTCTATTATCTTATCTTAACGAATTTTTCTCGGGTAATAGCTATATCGATAAATTAATAAATAATTGATGTAAAGCGATGGTCGATAGTTGATAATAAAGTAAGGGGAAGAGGGGGGGAGGGTTCTATTATTATTAAATAGTACTTCGTATAAGGCGGGAAGTCAAGCCGATCGACGAGTTTGCGAGTTGCGTATTGCGAGTTGCGTGTTCCGTCACTTTTTAAGCATCAAAGGCTTATAACTTATAAAAAGATAATTCTTCTTTATAATAAGGAAGCAAAAGGTAGTTCTAAAAGTATTGATTTCGGTTATTTAAAAAAAAAGGAATCCTTATAAAAAGAAAAAGAATTGTATATAGTTCTCCTTTTACGCTAGCTAGCTATTCTTTCTTTTAATTAGCAGTCACTATCCATCTTTTCAAGCGTTCCTTAGCAGCAACAGCATAGACCTCATAAAGTAAGAATTTCTTATTCTAACAATTGCAATGTTTTAAGCAATGTTATAAGCAATATAAGTGTTTATGTTCCTCGCTGTTTCCGGCGTTGAAGCGGGACATAATTTTTTCGGGACATAATTTTTTCGCCCACTTTAAAGAAGGGCCCCAAAAGTTGCGACGTCAAGGCCCATTATTATTATATATGTAGCTATCAAATCTGCATTAATAATTCGGTCGGTCCCGGCGTACACTTATCTTTCGTACTATTATATGCATGCAGTTATTAAGTCTGCATTAACAGCTCGGTCGGTTCCGGCGTGCATTTATTATTCGTAATATATATGCAGCTGTCAAACTTGCATTAACAGCTCGATCGGTTAGTCTCGGCGTGCATCTATTTCTTGTACTATGCATATAGCTGTCAAGTCTGCATTG